CCAATTGAAGACAGTGTTCACTTGTTGTAGAAAAATATATGTCTCAGTTCGAACAGAGCTTGTCACGCAAAGATCATTATGAAATCCATATTCTCGCGATCGCTTAGCACGCGAACGTGACTGAGTTAACGAACTTAGTACATGGCTAAGGCGGGCGCTACTGCATTTTTGGAAACACACGCTGCCTTTCGCCTTCATGTGCAGCCGCGCAGTCAAAGCCGCCAGTGACGGGCGGTTGCGATAGATACATAGACGACTCCACATGAGTCACGATCGGCAGTATGCGGTCTCCAGATTAAGACGTAGCTATAAACAGAGTAGATAAACGTAAAAGAAAGCGGCAGTTTTAATTTGTACGTTTTAATCAGACTGATACCAATAAATAATCTTGATATACAAATATAGTTAGGCATAAGATCGTATTGTAGCCAATCCATTAATCCGTAAATGAATAGTATGATAGATATAAAACCGATGATGATAGAAAGCGCATTTTCCAATTTTTGACGATATCTGTGATCTTGAAGGCAACCAAACTACCCAAGCTTGGAAAACTAAAAGAATGATAAAAAAAACTATCAAAAATATGAGACAGATATCGCCGTCATAATTCATCACTTCAGATACATTCCACCAACAAATTATCGTTTATAGCCACATTATAAAGCTAATCCCGATTTCACCAGAGACTAGTTAAATATAGACTTAATTATAAAAATTATACATTATATATTAAAACGTATATACGATTTCACAAAGATTCACGTGTATATATGTTAGCAAATCACAGGACAACATAACGCCTGACGGGACATGAAGAAACGACATGTAGAAATCTGCGACTGTTATTTCTTTTTAATAATTGACCTTAGAATTACTATATATGAAATGTTTTGTGGATTTAATAAATGCGCAGCATATGGCTATTGATAAGGCATTTACATAGATAGTTAACAGTACTATAAGGATTTAACTGATGTACGCACACTTACATCAAGCAGTCCTAAACACGTTGCACTTGTACGGGGCGCTAAGCTACGTGTACACATACCTCTATGCAGTACATTGATAGTAGTAGAATCGTATATAATTATGTGCACAATATATTAGATGCTTAGAACCGGTATTAGAATTCCTGCAGCTCCCCAACACTGCTAAATCTAGTAGGCCTACTTGGTCAATCTCGTACTCGTAATTGAAAAAGAATAGATTGTTGTATTCAAGCAGAAAGTAGTCAATGTTTGTCTACTGTCTTTCACGACAGTGCGTCTGCGTGCGTGCGTGTGTATTTGCTTGCTTTCTTGTGTGCGTACGTGTGTGTTTGTGTGCGTGCGTGCGTGTCTGCGTGTGTTTGCGTGCGGGTATGTTTGTGTATGCGTGCGCGTCGAGAATGTGCGTGTATGTGCGCGTATGTGTGTGTGTGTGTGTGTGTGTGTGTGTGTGTGTGTGTGCGCGCGCGCGCCCGGGGTTGTGTATGCGTGCGGGCCGCGCGTGTGCGTGTATGTGTGCGTGTATACAGTAATGGATGATCTTCGGCGTCAAGGCGAATGTCAGGCGGTTAATTTCCTTGTTGCTCCTCTTGCTGTCTCTGCTCCTTTTGGCGTCTTACCTCTTCCGCATGTCTCTCCTGAAAAAGAAATCACCTATGACGTTACTGCTCGTATTTCTGCGTGATAATTTGCCTACCTCCCGTCGTGTTTCGCGTAAAAAAGTGTAGCCAATGTTATCTTGGGGGAAACATGGCGGCCATATCTGCGAATCAGCGTGTTTGGATCCCTCTTATTGTTGGCGTGCGCACGAGCCCTTGTAGTGGGGGCGAATTTAACGGAAACAGTATGTACGACAGTATCTTACACGATCCTTTAACTTCTTTTGAACTGCGCTCAGATGAATATCTCTATTTTGTGAGGCAATTTTCATTTTCTTTGCTAGTTTCTCCTCTGTGACTTTTCCGACTTCTTGTAGATACTGCTCGCATGTTTGGCGCACCTCATCCACGTGTAGCTCCTTCGCGAAGGAATAACCGAAGTCAAAACCGAAATAATTGAGTTATTCCCAGCCACGTGCAAAATGCTCATATAACAAAGATCAAACGATTATAACACACGCCGCTATTTAAATGTCAAAATAATACTACACGCATGCGCAAAACGTGCAATATCGTCAGAGAAAAAGGTAGAAGCCATATTAAAGACGTTTGTATGCATAGTAATAATAAATTATAATCATAACTATATTATTATTACCATAATTCTTATAATTATAGTTGCTATAATTTAGAAATTGTAAAATATATAATGCCACACGCGTAGAAATGCGAGATATTCAGAAATGCTTGCGATGGTCTTTGAGATGGCTGTCGAAGGCCTTACATGGTTCCTGCGCTTCGACTGGATTGCTTGCAGTTGTACGCTGCGGTTACGGTGCGCCTCTCCCATCTTCTGGCCGAATCTCTCTTCTACGCGCTTTGCATTCTCCTGCACATAGGTCTCGCTCGTCTGCCGGACATCGTTCACACGTCGCTCCTTCACGTTCGTATATGCATGCATGCATGCGTGCGGACGTGCATGCGTGCGTGTGTGCATTCGGTAGAGCGGCCGCGTGCAAATAGAGGTAACGAACAAAAACAAAATGTTATGTGGCATGCGATCGAACAAAATATACGGCAACACAAAAAATAAGGCGGTCATGTCATGCAGTTACACGTATGATACAACCAAGGTCATACTATTTAAGAGGACTTGTGTCAACCGAGTCATTTGTTTCAAGAGATAACACAATGTATTTTTTATGACACAAATCCCCTTTGAAGAGCATGCATGGGGTATCAAATGCCAGGTGAAATGACGAAAACCCTAGGTGAAAACCCCTCCCCAGGTGAAAACCCTATTTAAAGGGTTATCGATTAACGTAAAGTAAGAGCTGGCGACGCGGAAGTCCCGGATGTAGCTGCATTAATCCCCGACGTAGTTTCTTCCACGCTTTAAATGTCTGTCTAGCTAAAAATGCGCAGACGCCGATTGCACGCCCATGCAGCGATACAGCTTGCGTGACGACTGCACGCCAAGGTTTGATGTGTCACCTTCTACGGTTACGGTACAGGTTTTCATCAGACACAGGGAAATCGGCGCCGGTCAGTTTTTCTCCTTACGTGCTCTCTCAGTTTCTCCATCAGCTGTTCATCCTGTAGCCGCTTGAGTTCTTGCGCTGCTCCGTGTTTCCTATCGATGAGTTCTCGCTTCGTCTCGCAGACGTCACGCGCTTTATCTTCGCCGAGTTTTCGAACTTGCAGAACGCGCTGCTCCTATTGGTCAGAATGTTGCGTCATGCCTCATGAGTATTTTATATAATCTACAAACGTAGAATTCCATTGGGTACCACTAGACTTTCTGTACCTGGACCCCCCTGCGTTTTAGGAGTAAATGGCCAACCAGTGATATGGAGTATATCTCAGAGTGCATCTCAAGAAGTTATGTAAATAGTCAAGTTATCCTCTGATGGGCTAATATATTGCTGTCGACTAATATATACTACAACAACATGACATCTAATAAGATAATTATACTGTCTTCTTATATTGCTCGTGGATTCTAATCATGAACTCTTCGGAACATACACAAGTGCGTTAAAGTTGCGTACACCTGCAATTTTTATTCAATTTCACTAGCAGAGCGATGGGTATGCCGTGTGTAATTCGTAGGTAGTGAGAGTGACTGAAATAAACGGGCTAACGGGATAGTAACGATCTTGCTGGATATTTCAGTTTAGCATATAGCCGTATACCCACACGCTCGTGAAGGCGCTCCTGTAATGCCTTCTCCTGCGCCTCCTTATTTTCCTTGTTCGTTTCCAGTTTTTTCTGCAGCTTGTTTTCCGCCTCCTGTACGAATTGTTCGTCGTGCTCGGCCTTCTTTGATTGCGCCTGTTTTAGCTTCTTCTGCACCTGGTCCTTCTTCTGTGCTTCAATCATCTGCCCGATAAAGGAAAGACACAATTGTATATCAGCACAATATAGAAATTAGACGAGTACGCATGGAATAAAGTGTAGAAATAAGAATGCGAAGTGGCAGTAATAACAATTAATGGAAACACGAAATAAGAACATTCACTGAATCACTATGGTGAGTCAAGCTGGGCGGGTATCGCGCATTGTGGTGCCATTTTGGTTTTGAAAAATTCGAATTAAATTGCTCTAGTTCTATCGTAACATTCGGTAAAGATGGGCTATCGCAACGGCTGATGGGATATTGAAACGAAACCTCAAATCGTAGAGAAATCGTAACTGAGACTGTAACCTTATAATGGTAGTTATATTAATTGCGAGCATATAACCGCGCAACTCTCCACAATAAGAATTTTCGCTCGTGAGCTACTCACGAATATTAATCACTTGAAGTCGCATGCAGATTTATCAAGTGTTTGCGTGTGTGGGCGGGCGTGTGTTAGAGTGGATAACGGGGAGTGCTTCAGGCTATAGGCAGCCGCCATATTATTGAGAAACCATTTGTAAAACTGCCGTTTGGCTGTTATGACTTCTCACGCGATTTCATATGCTATACTCCACGCCACGGCAAGCTGCTTTAGCAAAAAGTCGTATAACCTGCCTGCTCAACAGGTTTACTTCTACTGCAAGCAAAGAATCGCTTGTCAAAATCAGAATTTTATCGCACACACACACACACACACACACACACACACACAGAACAACGATTCCAACTTTCCTGGGTTGTTCCATCTATCAACTCGCAGAATTCTTAATCTCGACCACGTGACTAGAAATAGTTGAAAAATATTCCTCTCAGCATTATACGCAGTTGTTTTCTTGAAGCATCTTGGTGTTTGACCCAACCGCCTATATAACCACCTGCCGCGCGTACTGCGCCGTTGGCGCCAACGTACAAGAGTCTCCCGCCGCTCAAATATCATGGATACGCGGCATACGCCCCTGACATGCATACTCATCTGTAAACACACGCCGCCGCCATTGCTGCTGCGCTGCACACTGACACATAAATATATAGCAGGTAAGAAAGCGTGAGCCCGAAATTCGCTCGACGCTCGCTGCATTTCACATGATTACAACACAAAAACTCAACCTTCCGACTCCATCTTTGCTGCCAATTGAAGAACAGTGTTCACTTGTTGTAGAAATATTATGTCTCAGTTCGAAACAGAGCTGTGTCACGCAAAATCATTATGAAATCATGAAATTCTCGCGATCGCTAGCACTGCGAACGTGATGTTAACGAACTTAAGTACATGGCTAAAAGCGGCGCACTGCATTTTTGGAAACAACAACGCTGCTTTCCGCCTTCCATGTGAGCCCCGTCAAAGCCGCCAATGGGGCGTTGCTATAGATACCATAGACGACTCCAACATGACGTCACGAATACGGCCAGTATGGGTCTCCAGATTCCAAAATTCATTAACAGTGTTAACAATCGCGAGAATTTCATGATTTCATTCGTGATTTTGCGTGACACAGCTCTGTTTCGAACCGAGACATAATATTTCTACAACAAGTGAACACTGTTCTTCAATTAGCAGCAAAGATGGAGTCGGAAGGTTGAGTTTTTGTGTTGTAATCATGTGAAATGCAGAGCGTCGAGCGAATTTCTGGCGCACGTTTTCTTACCTGCTATATATTTACGACGTGGATATTCGTCCGAGCATCGGACACCTGTTCGTATGCGCTATTCGTCCGAGCAATTGTTGCGCATGTGCTGTTCATGTAGCATGCCGCAGGCGCACGGCCTCTAGTGCCGGAAATAGAGAGTGAAGGGAGGGGTCTTTCAAATTTTTAAATCTAGACACTCTAAAATGCTATTTACCCTTTAGATTTGATTTTTGGCCCTTTAGGCTGGGGGCCCGTAGCGTTTTGCTACGGCAGCCATACGGCTGTGACGCCCCTGCATACATGCATTGCGTATGTGGTTATACACCATAGATAGTGTTTGGTACTATCACTAGCCTATAATATATACGAAACCGAGCGCATAAAAAGAGAAACGAGTCGGTTTATAGTTAGTGTTAGGGTAGCGCATGCGCAACAACTGTTCGGACGAATAGCGCATACGAACAGGTGTACGATGCTCGGACAAATATCCACATCCATATATTTATGTGTCAGTGTGCAGCGCAGCAGCAATGGCGGCGGCGTGTGTTTACAGATGAGCATGGACGGCATTTACAGGAAATTGTCGGCAATAATAGGTGAAAGAGAGTATGGAAACATTAAGAATTTGGTAGTAAATAGATTTCGTATATATTTAGTATTATATTTTATTGAAACGCTTCAAGTGCCTGTATCTGTGACACTGTCACTGTCACCGACACTGTTGTATTTTGCCGGTATCAGTTTGGGATGTTATTACAATGTCTATTGCAATACTTACCGCCAGCCGGAAACTTTACCGTCTGATTCGCTCGGATCAGCTTCATTCTACGACAAAAAGAAATGCGGGTTTTTTTAACGAATTGTGAAACGAAAGGCAACATTGATGTATACACACACACATTGACAACGTTGGGATAGACGCCCGATTTCAGGAGCATAACTTCTACATAAAACAAAAACGTAGTTAACAGATTTAGAATTTGACACACTTGATCATACCTTATTTTAAATTGGTCATAATTACGTTTGATTGTAAACTAATAAATGTGCTACAACTAGATTTAACAAACGCTTTGAAAACAAAATCATACTTGAGCTATGGCCGACGAAAAAAAGGAAGTACAAATGCATGCAGGGAAATGTTTACTTCCGGCAAGCGGTAAAAGTGGTAGCGGAATGAAAGGCAAAAGCAAAACAGGCGATACTGTTCAGTACCACCACCACGCGATGGACTACAGTCAGGAGTGAATAATAATAGATATTCTATTAGATAATCTCTAATTACATATTCTCTAGATAATCTATTATTATTCACTCCTGCTACAGTGGATGCAATAGAAACATGGAGACACTAGTCTAATCATAGATATAGAATGAAGATATATCTTTATTCTATATATCTATGGTCTACTATATATATAGTATCAGGATATTTGTCATTGATACACTCCTGATAGTATGTTACTTCTATGGTGGTTCATCATCATCTATCATCATAGATATAAGCCGCGTTCACACGGAGCGAAGGAACTCGGGTCTAAAACGACCTGTGTCGAAAACGACACGGAGCGTCGTTGAAGAGAGCGTTCACACGACGCTATGCGAGCTGTGAGCTGAGAAAAAAAATACAATGCGTCCAAGCGAACAATGCGAATTAAACAATCAAACTCTTCTGACTGACTTCCAACCTTTGCTTCCAACTATTCTGTTTACTTTCGTGACTTTATTCTGTTACTTTCGTGTTGTGACGTACTAATTCCAACCCGAGTCGCGC